GTAGTAGTAGTAGTAGTAGCATTAGTGGTTGTAGTAGTAGTAGTAGCAGCAGCAGCAGCAGCAGTAGCAGCTCTTCACAAAAGGCCGACCTCAGGTTTGGGCGGGGGAGACTAGCACTTCAGGCTTCTTTTGCACAAGCCTTCTCGACCCTGACCCATGGTGTCCCAGGACGCGAGTACAGATTGTTGAATGCTCCGGAGAAGATCTTCCATCGTGTGAGGTTCATGCATGGTTAGTGGCGACGGCTTGTTCTGGGCTTGAAACAAAAAGGAAGAAGCACACCAGCAGCAAGATTATTGCAAGTGCGAGTGGCGGTGTGCTGCTGCAGAACACGTAGCATTAGCAGGCAAGTGAGACACTGATTACTGGTCATCACAGTAAAGTCAGGAATTGACTTGGCAATTGGAAATCTGAACATTGTTGCCATCTGTCTGTGTGGCTTCCCTGTGTGGGTTCACAAAACACTGAACGAGTCCCTCCTGATTCACTTGGCCTTCGCCCCGGCTTCCAGCATCGTCAGCAGTGGGTGCTGAGGCCAGCTTGGCGCTCCCTCGCAGCCAGGGGGCCCCAAGGCATGTCGTTCACTTCCATCTAACATAGGGGCCTTAATAATTAGAATAGGGTTTTGGGGTCCTGTAAAGCTCAGGCTTGGGGTGTTGCACGGCTTTGAGATCGCTCGGTTTGTGGGGCTACGACACTACCTTTTCAAAACCTTGCGGTCCTTCAAAGACAAGACTCGAAAATGTCATCACAAGCCCGCAGGAAGAGTTCCTTCTTACTTCTGTGGCAGAGGCACCGCTACCAATTCTACGGGATCAGTGATGCGCCCGGGACTGTGCAAGGAGCTCGTGCGGGATTAACACAAATCAACAAAAGCAATGCGGTCGCTAGCTTTGTACCCGGGTTGCCGCCGGACATGACATACGTGACGACCTGCCCTGCTGCCTTTTCCAACTTCTTGGATTCTTGCCTGCCTCTGAACAACAAACACCTCCCGAAAAGTAAATTTGATGCCTCTTTGGAAGTCCAGGCCCCTGTTTCCAGAGAAGATGTGGGGCAAATCTCGAAGTGTGCACCTGCGAAGAACGGGCTTGCAAAACGGCTGGGCGGTACGGATGGCTCCTGTTCTCGGGATCCAGCTTTCCGACATGAGGTCTGCAAGGGACTGCGGCATCACGAACCGATCTCGAAAACCCGAGCTCGCAAATAGAGAACTTCGGGGTCGGTTTTGCTCAGCTTGCTGGACATTCCCTGCCATCACGATTTCCAAGCACCGGAAAGCTCGGAATGCTTCTTGGCAGCCTTTTTCCGACAGGCCGCATCCAGTGGATTTTTGTCAAAGGAGTGGGCCCTGGAACTTGCACGGCGGCTTGGCTCGGGCCCGATGCTGCAATAGACTACTCAAGGAGACCCACCCCTAAACCCTAAACCCTAAACCCTCAACCCTAAACCCTAAACCCTAAACCCATTTTTGTTGGCTTATGGGCCCAAACAGAGCTGGTAGGGTTTCGGCCCGGAGGTTTCGGGCTTAGAGTTTGGGGCCTACTGGCCCGAAAACATCTCCAGAATCGGAGATCGGAAGAGCAACCGGAGGACTGTATGAGATTCACTCAAGCGATCACGACAGACGGTTTAGGGTTTAGGGTTTAGGGTTGGAGATAAGGGAGTGCGGAAGCATAGGAAAGAGGAGGTGAGAGAGACGGCGGAAAAACGGGAGCGGCAGCGGAAGAATAGCAAGGGTGAGCAAGTGACGGGAGAGACACGCCGGTCGAAAGCAAAACATCAACGCACGCACCCAGATCTACTTTCATCCTGTACAGAAAAAGTGTAGAAGTTTCGGGAAGGGGGGGGGGGGCTTGCCAGACAACTGCCTGAACCATTGCTGGGCCGCCATGCATTTTCCAATATATTAAGGTATCTACGAAGCTCCCGATGTCGAGCTTTCGGCAATTCTCTACCTTGACTTGACCGGCGAATCCGGAAGCAAGGAGTCCAGAAACTCGGTATCCAAGTCTGCGTAGTCATCGGCGTCAAAGTCACCGCTGTCTTCAGCGTCCAGGTCTTCCTGCGAACTTCTGGCTCGGTGTCCTCCTACTTCTGTGCGATATGTAGCTCATTCGGCTCCTAGAATGCTCCATGATACCGGAGGGAGCGGCTGCAACTAGAAACACACTGGAGACTCCAGGGCTCTAAAGCATCTTCTTCTTCTTCTTCTTCTTGCATCTGGGCTCCATGCCCTCGAACGCGTCTCAAGCTTATAAACGCTATCGAAACTCCACAGGGCCCCTCGGCTCTTGAGGATTCTGATCCACTGGCTATTCTGTCGAGATACTGGCTCTGGAGACCCACTGGCATCGTCAATGTACTCGTCGGCGATCTTGTCGATCCAACTGAGATCCTATCCGCGGCAGCCGGTGCCCTCCCGGCTTTGGGGGTTTGAGGTTTTGGCTTCCTGTGGAGACTTTGCGTGCTTTATGCACTCTTCGCAGATGATACACCCTGACGGCCCTTGTGCTCCGCTCCAAAGCGCAACTGGGCCTAACTACTTCATTCGGGCCCTCGTCCTGACTACCGGCGGTACAATAACACAAGCGAACTTGTCATTTGCGGCACGACAGTCATCCGGAAGCCTCCTCAGCTGCTGGCCGACGACCCTCCTTTCGGGCCCGGTTGTGCCAATTTTCGCTTTGGGCTGAGGGCTCGTGGCACAGTTTGGGATCAGTGTTAGACTGCGGAGGATCTCCATGTTGTTTTCTTATTGGGATGCTGACGGGCATCCAGGCAGACATATTCCCGAAAGCTCATCAGTCCACCCGGATGCCTCCCGAGCTTATGTGGCATTGACCTTGCAGCATCACCGGGTGGAGAAGTAAATTCGCCTCTACGTCGGGGCCTCGGCTAACCAAGTTCTGGCGACGATTCTATTATGTGCAGGATGGCATTGAGCTTCATGCCCTGCCTGGTTCCTCGAAATGGTTTCAAAGAGAGAAAAAGCCTTGAGTCCAAATCAAATCAACTCTACGACACCAATTCTGAACACTTGATCCAGTCTATACTTGAGTCTATACCGACTTAGATTATGCTTACATTTGCTTGAACTCGGACAAAGGGCTCATTCTTGCACTCTCTCGCTCTCTCTCTCTCTCTCTCGCTCTGTGCCTGAGTGCGAAACTTTCTTGGACCTTCACAACCCTAAAACCCCTTACAGTTCAATCTTGCAAACCGAAGGCCCGGCCTAAGCAGATCTTAGCCTTCTAAACTATGAACCCGAAACCTAGAACCCGAATCGAACTGTCGCCGGCGTTATTCCAAAAACCCACGAGATCTACTAAGGGGATATCATGGTTAGAATGGTCTTACTCTCAGTACCAGTAGCTGCCAGGGGATACTATTCTAACATAAACCCAAAAAGCACATAAAAACCGGAATGAAAGCCAAGAGCTCCCTGACCGCTTCCTGCTAAAAGCTCAAACAACCTCATGAAGAAGGTCCTTATTTAGACCCTGCAAAACCTGTGTAGAAACCTTTCGTTAAAACACAACTTATATTTGTTATACATGACCCCTGCAATACTTCAATACTTGCGCTGCATGACTTCCTGAGACCATAAACAATAAAACCCTAATCCTGAGGCCCTAAACCCTAAACGCCTAAACCCATCAACCCTGTCCGTCGGCTCAGGTGGCTTGAACAACGACTTGTCAAAGTCGTCGGCCTCGACCAACCCCCACATGTTTCTTTGTCTGTTGAAGCTGGGCCCCTGGAAGGCTTTGGGATGTAGAGGCCTGGGGTTTTGACACTCACTTGGTACACTTCTCGATTTGTGAGTGTCATCCTTGCGCAGGGGCCATGCCAATCTTCTCTGTATCGTTCCAAGTTTATCGGATTCCCTTTGGGTTTAGGGTTTAGGGTTAGGGATTCGGAAAGTTTCGGGTTCGGGCGTTACAGTAGAGATTTGGGTCCTAGGAGTCTGCCGGGCTGAAGAAGAAGGTCTGCAAGCACGTGGGCAGTCTGAGGCGCTTGATGAAGTCTGCTGGCATCCACCCGGGCTCTTGACGCTTTAGGGTTTAGGGTTTAGGTTTAGGGTTTAGGGTTTACTGATGGCTGCAAATTCACGCCAACATTTACGAATCCCAGCATACTCAACGACGGCATAGACCTGACAGACACCCACAAACACACGAGCCACTGTAAAAGCAGCGGCTGACAGCAGCGAAGATGTACCCTACGAGTCCATCGAAACTTGACTAACTGCTGGTACAGGAGATCCAAGACGTCGCCGGCTCTGCATGCCAGTGTTTCGAGCCACACAAGGTGTGGATATCCAGCTCGATTGGAGATAAGCGAAAGATTCAGGATTCACAGTGGGTAAACCATGGCAACTGAAGCTTGCATAAAATCGTGACCCCAAACATCTCGTGTCTTTTCTCATCAAACTGCACTTTTACCGCAAAACCCGTCATGCAATGAAAGCAAACCCAACCTGGGATACAGAGTTTGCGACTGGAATCACAGCCGTCATGGCCAACATACCTGTCACGACCACCACCCACGCCATCATCAGACTTGCCCTCTTCAAGTTCACAGTCGCTAGCAACCTACTGTATTGCTAGCGTCGCCATCGTTGTCATGACATGAATTACCACCGGCAGCGACATTAACAGCAAGTAGTCTCTAGAAAGTAGCAAGATGCGTCAACCTGATACACGTGACACCACAGGCATGCCATCAAAAAAAACTCCACTTGCAACGTGATGGTGGCTTGCAAATGTCAGGACGTAGATATATAAGAAGTATATAGCCGCTAATGTAGCCGTACCAAATGCGATAGCAGATGTGCAGGTGTACGAAAATCCCACTGCTTCGCGGGACAAAGGATCAATGTGCAGTGCAACATTTGACGCCTTGTAAAGAGCAAGGCAACGCATTAAACAACAGCACCACTTTTGATAACCTGCCTGGGTGTTTCCCCACATCGCGTCTGGCCGGTTTGCTTCCACGAAGTCATTCCATTCCAGGGGCTCGTCGTCCTTGCAAGTCACACACCAGTTTACGAATACCCAGGCAACAGGACAGCGAGAATGGTTGGATAGTTTTTTGTCTAACCACGAGCACATGTGGTAGAGCAGCTGTACTTCTTGGAGACATTATGAAGATGGATCTGCTTCGGGGCCGAGGAGTGCCTGACTGTTCTGATTAGTCAGCAGCAACTGTGAACTTGCAGGGTAGGCAACATGGCGACGCCCATGGGTGCATTTAGTGGTTGTTGAAAAGCTTATCGGAAAACTCTGCTTCCTGCAGCCATGCAGCTCGGTCATTGTTCGACCAAAGTGTGATCTTCAGGTCCATCGGCTTGCTCTCCCGGAAAAGGTCCGGCGTGTTGCACCTCTTCGTTGCATGCAGCACAGGATCTGTCTCGATCCCAACTCTTGCAAGCCTAGGCTCCGGTGTAATACTTTAGGGCTCTCCGGGTGTGGAGAAGCGGAGGTACTACACTGACCACATAAAGGAGAAAAGAGCCCAGAGACTTCCTGTTTTGGGCCTTTACCCAGACGCCCGCACAAATCTTTATGCAACTTGACACAGCAAAATATGATGTAACAAGTATATAACCACATAGTAGATCATGAACCCGAGCAAACGCAATGCATCCGCGGCCTCGCGGGAAAGCCCACGAGGGCCTTGCCGAAGCTTCGGTGCGGTCTGATCTCCAAACGGGTGCCGCAGCCGCCCAATGCAGGCCGAGTGATGACCTGCGAGTGGCCAGGGCTTCGGGCTTGTAGGGTTTAGGATTTTTTTAGAACCCTCTAAACCCTACATTCGAATGATGAGACGAAACCCAACCAGCTTTCGATGCTCATGTGCGCAATGTCTCAGACGTAAGTAATCGATGACAAGGCCATCGGTAGACTAGTGCAACACTCGCTGTGCTCGACAAGTACCGGCAAGTCGAGTGGTTTCAGAAAACACGAACGGACTTGATCGAAAGGCGGGTGACAACAGCCCAGCAGCCTGTGTAAAAAGTGTATTCTACAAAATTTAACATAATAGTACAACATCATCAATACTTAAAAATACTTATACATATGTTTAATGTATTCTGTTACCTATTAATCTACAAAATGAAGCATGAGTAGGAGACATCGTCAGCGATGACAGAACCCCGAATTTTCCATCTACTCGCCCCCACAACCAGCCTAATAATCCCTAAACCCTCAACCCACAATACTAAACCCTAAGCCCTTTTACCCTAAGCCCAATCCCTCATCACTTGTCCTAAACCCTAAATCCTAAAACCCTCAACTCTAAATCCTAAAACCCTAAACCCTAAATCCTAAAACCCTAGACCCTAAATCCTAAAACCCTAAACCCTAAATCCTAAAACCCTAAACCCTAAAACCCTAAACCCTAAATCCTAAAACCCTAAACCCCGGAAGAGAGCGGAAGACAGACCTGGATGTCAGCATCCTTCAGCACCGCGGCACGTGGTCGATAGACCTAACGGTAGGGGCCTTAAAAATTAGAGTAGGGTTTCGGAGCCCACTATACTATTATCATGTAGGGGCCTTAATAATTAGAGTAGGGTTTTGTTATGATAATAGTATAATGGGCTCCAAAACCCTATTCTAATTATTAAGGCCCCTGTATTATAGGGGTTGGGTTTAGGGTTTAGGGCTCCTTATAGTGAACTGTAACAGTAAGATTGGTAATGATTTAGGCTTCTATGTTACAGTAACTCGGAATTCCAAGAGGAAGGGTTCACGGCCATGGCGACATGAAGTGACGTGAGAGTCTCATGAAAGTTGAGCACTACGGCTCCACTCTACGAAAAAACCCACCAGATGGGTGAGTTTCAAGACATGTCACATTACATTCCTGGGACGTAAGTCCTGAGACCTGGAACCAATACAACTAGACAGAAACAAGAGCGGTCACAAGTGCCCGTAACCCAAATCTTATCAGGAATTGACAGGGGCATGGGGTTGATGCATAAACAGCCATGCATGTTGGTAGCTTGGGCGCCACCTGCAATGCTGGCACGGCGTGAAAATCTTCTGGGGGGGGCACTACTTCAACCCTTCCTGCCAGCTGCACGCCGCATGCAAACCTCATGAGGTGCGTGCTGAAATGGGCAGGCAACCAAGGAAGAGCCAGTCAGTTAGTTCAGAGAGAGAGAGAGAGAGAGAGCGAGCAAGCAGTTCCTCTGCTCACAAAGTGCTGCGATTCCCCGGGCCTGACTTGGTGCGCAACAGCTTCAGCAACAGTAAGGAAAGGGACCACGCAGTCTGCCTAAAGCCTTATGAAATACATGAGTAGAGGGGGCATCTCCGGGTGCAGCACAACTCCCGCGAAACAAAATCCGGATCCCGCTAAATCGCAGATGGAAGGCCCTGTCCAGGACGACCTGAAGCAAAGGGGAAGTCAGATCCCTCGATTTGTTCGCATGTTCTTGCTTGCCACCTCTTGCGGCAACACAATATGTTGAAGATAGTTGCTGCCATGCTGTAGCTGCAGGTGTGGACTTGGGAACCGAACAGACTTCACATGCACATGCCGAACCAGAATTTAGCGGTAAACCTCCCTCGTTCTGCACTCTCACTTGTCCCCGCAGCCTCCTTGACGCGAAGGATGGGTCTCCAGTACTTGAACTTCTCGTCGTCGTGGGGCCACAAGGCCTGACGGGGCATCCTGGTGCGGCATGACTTCTGCCATCCCACTTGCTGAATGCGCTTGCTGTTGGCGGCCGCTGCTCTGTTACATCTTGAACTTCGGTTGTAGTTTTCTGTTCAGGTGCAACAAGTATGTGGAGGTTTCGGAAGCGCCGGAGAAGACAGCATCTTGTGTACGCCCTTTGTTGCAACATGGGCTCCATCTTGGCGAGCTAGGCGTGGCCTCGTGGTTCATGGCCCACTGCCAGATTCTAACAGGTCTAGGGCTTGTGGTGTTAGGCGATGCAAGCTACAAAGAGGGTCGAGGAAGTGTTCGAAGCGAAGGAGACTCCACCTCGGAGAATATACAAACACTAGAGTAACTAGAGATCCTCAAGCTTCCACAGAGACATCTCCTTGCCTTAAGCTTCCAAATGTCAATCTTTTCAGACGGTTCGTGTGCTGGGTCTCGGGGTTTATGCCCTCAGCTTTCGGGCCTGGCAATTGGCCGCTGCAGATGCCTGCAGGGAACTCATACATCTCGAGAGATGCCGAAGGATAATATCCCATCACCACATTTATCCAAGACTCTCTCAAAGCCAGACATGTGCAAAACGTATAAGACATGAACTTAGTCATGCCGGCTGCCAGCATAGATCCCCAACAGGAACAGGACACGTAGCAGTCCAAGCCTTGCACCCAAGAACCACTTCCGGAGCATCCGTAAAAATCCCAAAACTCAGGAGCACGAGGATCTGCCCCCGAGAGCACGCACGGCACTGTGGCGGGGGCAGGAGGCGTGCTAAAGAGCAGGAAACAGACGGGGACGGGTCCTAACCGGTCCGAAGCCAAAGTGCGCGCGGCACTCTGGAGGGACTCCGATTTCAACTTCGCCAAATTTCAACCCACCCCTTCGAGATGCGAAGATCACGCCGAGGAGACCCCAGCAGCCGAAGAGTGCTGCTGCGATGCTCCAGCGAGACGCTAACAGCCATGTGTCTTGGCCAATGTGGTCCACAACACTAGTCGTAATACTTTTCGGATTGTTTCAAGGCAGACGAGAAGTGGCGGATCAGCACAACAGCCCTTCACCAAGTTCTCGCTTGCACAGGCAGAAGCTAAAGCTGAACCCCCAAAGGCAGCCTCGAGCTTTCCACAGGCATCGTAGCACATACAGCGGCAGCTGTGCTTCTTCAGGAGGTGCTGTAGGAGAACGAGCCTTCGCTTGGACCTGAGCTTTCCGGGACGCTGGTCCAAGAATGAATATGCAGGCGAGATGAGCAGCGAACAAGTACATTTCTGGCGTTTCGCAAGCATGCGCGCATGTTTCGACATTGGTGATCAAATCCTCACACGTATCAGAGTTGGTGCATGTCTATGTTTGGATCGAGACACACCTAGTGGACAGTAAGGCCAGATGGGTCTTGAGACGCCAAGCCTTGAAGGTGACTCATGGTGTCCGGGTTTAACAAGGGCAGGGGTCAGTAGTAGTGAATGGGTGAAACCTGATGGGCGCAGGATGCCCCCCAAGCAACATGACAATCATTTGGAGCATTGTCACGGTTATCATCATGATCATCACCATCAGCGACATCACGAGCATGCTCATCACGAACATCGGCATCATCAGCAACATGGACCATGCCGCCACCACCACCATCACGGCAAAACGAGTCCGGCCTTTGTACAGGGGCCGGGGTTGTATTCAGACACCGTGTGACTTCATAACATTGCACGACAAAGGGGCTGGCCCGGGCGTAACTTGATGTGCAAGACCATCCAGTTCTTCCTCGGGCTCCGGGATGGCTGTATTTCGAGCAATCAATGGATATGAATTTGGGACTTTCTTAATATCTCTGCTTGTAGCGTTGGGCCCGCCAGCATTGGCTGGGCGTCTCCATGAAGTTGTATTTATTCTGTCTTGCCGGCTCAGTTCAGCATCTTCTTCTGTTCATTATGTAGCTGGGATATTAAAAGCAGCATAACCCCCTCCCGAAAATCAAGCCCAAGGTGTATAAAGTGATATCAGCCGACATGCTGAACTCAATTGGACAGCGCGCAGTGTTATTCAGGATCGCACAAACCTTTCGGGCTCAAGGGATGCGAGAAAGTTTCCAGAGAGCTTTCACCACATTGTCTGTGTCCAAGCTGTGCACGACCAATGCCACCTGGCTGGCTTTTGGAATTAAGAGATGCTTTGCTCTGATTGTCTTTGACAGCTGTGGCCAAGTTCCCAAATAGAAAGGCAAGAACAGCGCACCTCATCTCGAACACCCAGTCGTCGAAGATGCTTTTCCTTGAGGCCACCTCGAGCGTGAAGGGGGGGGGGGGGGCATGTATGCCGTGACTATCGACCAGCCCGACACTGCCATATGCAGCTATATATGTGGAAGCTTCGAATAAGCCAGCTTGCACCAATACCACAGGCATCATATGTCGCCATCCCGCACTGCACTTTGATTGGTGTAATGAGCCGTCTTCGTCGTGTTCCTCTTGCTGACTCATATGCGACACCATCGCAACATATCAAAGCTGCAAGCATTGCGAGGCTTGCTCTTTGTCGGTGCTGTGCTGCCGGACACCACATCGAGAGCCATGTAAATGTAGGCGAATCGGAAGATGTAAATGATAACGGTGCGGTAGCAGTAGCACATGAAGAATATGTATACATGTATGTACGTACGTACGTACGCACGTAGATAGATAGGTACGTAGGTAGGTAGGTAGGTAGGTAGGTAGGTAGGTAGGTAGGTAGGTAGGTAGGTAGGTAGGTAGGTAGGTAGGGTAGGTAGGTCGGTCGGTCGGTCGGTCGGTCGGTGGGTCGGTAGGTAGGTAGGTGGGGAGGTAGGTAGGTCGGTAGGTGGGTAGGTAGGTCTGGGCTTCGTGGCAGGTTTTCTGCCGGGCCCCCCTGTCCCTGGCCTGGCCCCTCTGGAACCCCGAACCCGAACCCCCAAACGGCTGGGTTGGGCTGGGTGGCTGGGGGCTGGGCGCTGGGCGCTG